TGAGTATTTTAGATTTTAACCCAAGGGTTGGAGATGGTGTTAGGATGAGTATTTTATAAATGACACATTTTCATAATAAATGAGTCATTGGCTTAGCATGTGTATTTTATAAAGAAAACCAATGAAAATGGCTTCAAATATTTGCATTTTAATAAATAAAAAATCATCTAATAACTTTATTTAATGATAAGGACAAAAGATTAAAAATTAAAATAAAATATAAACACAAAAAGGCCAACTCGCACTAGGCACATCCCCCCACCATCCCCCATTTTCACACTCCCCTCTTTTCTCCCATTGTTGGCTACATTAACATATTATATATATATATATATTTAGAATTGAAAAAAAAAACTTCAAACTAAATTCCATTCCCTAGTTTTATTTTTGTGGTGTTGTTTTTCAATAGTAGTCCAGATGACGAAATATTTTTTTAATGTGCGCAGAATACGGGGTGGTACACAACGTGTCTATATACAAGTGGTGATATTCTTGTGTTAAAAGATTAATAACATAAAAAATAAAATTTCTCATCACTTACATAATAACACATGGTGTACCACTTGTGTTATGGGCACAAGGAAAAGTTTCTCCAAGGTGACACCCAAACTCAAGAAATTGGATGGAGAGCTGCATTTATTATTGTAGGTATGTAAAAAATGTGAGGGAATTTTAATTTGGCAATTGAAAACTACTTTTTAAATATATTTACTAAGACCATAATCTTCTCAAGGTTTTGATATAAAGGATCACTTCTGGGTTCATCATTTTCGGCGTAATGGGTGCTTTTACAAGACCAAAAATGGTCTAAGTTTCAAATCTTTTGAAATTAAATCAAGAATTAGATTATATATATTGACCAATAAGTAACACTATTTATGAAATTAGACCAATAACTAGACATTACTTATGAAATTGAACCAATATATAAGTAGACATTATTTATGAAACAAAACCAAGAATTAGATATTATTTCTAAAACAAACCCAATAGGTGGAAACTATTTATGAAACAGGACCAAAAACTAAACATTATTTATGAAACATGACAAAAAACCAGGCACTATTTATAAAGTTGACCAATAACTAGGTACTATTTATGAAACCGGACCAAGTAAGAGACACTATTGATGAAACTGTACCAACTACTATACACTTTTTATGAAACTTGACCCAATAACTAGGCATTATTTATGAAACATGACCAAAACTAGGCATTACTTATGAAAGTGGACCAAGAACTAGATACTATTTATGAAACTGAACTAATAAATAGTGTAATACCGCTCAGTTTCATAAATAGTGTAGTACCGTTCAGTTTCATAAATAATGTTCAATTTCATAAATAGTGTTCAGTTTCATAAACAGTGTCTGTGATGAACGCATAGGTCCCACGCGTCAGGTTTTTTTTTAAATTTTTTATATTAAAATTGTGTCATTTTCATTAAAATTTAAATTCTTTTGTCTTTTTTATTAAAATTTAAAGATTTTTTATTAATATTTAATTATTTTTTATTAAATAAAGTTATAACATAATTTTTTTATTAAAATAAATAAAGTTCCCTATTTTATAAAGAAAATGGAATAGAATGAATTACTTAATGGAAAATAAGAAAATAGTCCAGCCTGGTGGACGCGTGGAGCTCATTCATGGTTACTTGGAGGGAAAGGAATTTTGCTCAGAGGCAGATTGTTTACCCTCCTGTTTGGATGTCCTTCTTATCCCCTTCTATTTTGTGCGGTCACGGTTAAACCATGTCAACATTCTATATTGATTTTTTTTATAGAGATAATAACACAAAAAGCAATAGGAATATAAAATATTGACGTAGCTTAACCGTGACCGTACAAATAGGAGGGGATGGGAAGGAAACCCAAACAAGAGGACAGACAATCTACCTCCATTTTGCTCTGTTTTGTACTTTCTATTTTGTCAGCCAGCCAACCATGCACATGGAGGATGGAGGAGGACAGTGATCAACTGATGCCCTATGTATGGTGAGATTTTTCAACGGGACCAGAACACGAGATGGTACACCAATGTTATTATATAAATAATGGGATGGATGTGTTAAAAAATTAATAACTTAAAAAATAAAATTTAAAACCATTTATATAAAAACACGTGGTATATCACTCATGTTTCGATCACAATAAAAAAATTCTCCTATGCATGGCCTATATTATGATTATCTGCTAACCAGGCGAACTCTAGCATTTTAATAGTTTCTCATTCCACAAAGTAGTGCTACATTTACTACATATTTGTAGCATCAATTCTACAATCTCTTTAATAAAGGTAGGGCTCACCAACACATGTGGCCCCATCTCTATTAGAAAAATAATACAAATAGATTGTAACAGTAGTATTTTTTATTACAAAAACATTTTGGTAGTTTATTCGTCCTCAAAAAAATCATTTGAATATATTACTATAACAATCTTCTATTTGAATAATTTAATTGGATGGTTTAAGAAAATACAAAAATTGAAATTTTTATTATAAAAATATGTAATTCACAAATAAAGGAATCTGTGCATTCCCCAAATATCCAAAAACATCCCACAAATTAGTTATGAATACATATTTGTATCAACGTACCCTTGTCACATTATTTTGTAAACAAAATTTGATAATCGTTTTTTGGTCTCCTATGCATGGGCACTTTTTAGTCGATACTAGAAACGCAATCACTTGGTTTTATTAATTTACTCATTATAATATAAAGAAATCAATTAGTATATATTTTAAGATAATGTTAGAGATATCAAAATTTTAAACTAAATTTACAAATTAAATGATGTGTCACCAATAGGAAATAAGTCATTTAATCAACGTTTAAGTAATAATTCAATCATTAACAACCTCATCATTTGGTTTAAAAGTTTAATCTCCTTTACATTATCCTATAGTTTAAGTGAAATAATAAAAAGTAAGTAAACAATGTTCCACATACACCCTAAAATCATTAAAGTTCGAGCACCATAATAAGTGAATTATTGTTCATCGCTTAAAGTGGTGGTGATGACCATGGTTGTGTTAATTGTCGTTAAATGGGTGTTATTTAATTGGGAAGTGTTATTAGCACTTCAAAAATCTCATTCTACACTCCTTATAAATGTATTTTTCTTTTTAAATATAGAAAATTTGAAGTATAGAATGAGATTTTTGAAGTGTCAATAACAATTTCCATTTAATTTATCTATCATACAAACTTTGAAATTTAAACTTATCTCCCCACAATTAATGCGGCTCGGCTCGGCTTGAGTGTAACTATTTTCATGCCAATCACCAAACTATCCGAATGTACTGATGGACGACAAATTCCAACTCCAACGTTAACGACCGAAAAAAGAATAAAGGGCGGGACAAATATTGTGTTATGATCTCAGTCCACCACCTTCCCGTACGGTCAGCTCTGAAATCGCAGGCGACTGACGCGTCTCCATAAACCCTCTCTCTCTCTCTCTCTCTCTCTCCCTCCCCCCTCAGACATTTTCCTTCTCATCAAAACCCCAGAACCCCATTATCCATTATTTACATTTCAAAACCATTTGCATTTGCCATCATCTCCTTCTCTCTCACACCAGCTCTCCACTGTTTCTTCAGCTTCTGCTCCGAGAAACAAAAGCCAGAGCCACCGTCCGATTACGAACCCCACTGCCACCCTCCTTGCTCCGCCGTCACACCGGCTTCCTTCCCTCATTTTCCCAAACCTATTTCTGCTTCCTTTGCTCAACCGCCGTCGGCATGTCCCCAACTCAATCTCCACCACAACCACTACCAGGAGGTACATAATATAAGTAACTCAAACCCCAAGCTACCCTTCTTCTTTTTGTTGGTAATTTTGCGATTTAATCCTTTTTTTTTTTTTTTGGGTACTCACAGTTACAATGTGTTGTGAGGTGCTCTCTTCCTTAACCTTGACAGATGAAGATTTGGACAAGCTGGGGTTCGAGAAGGTCACCGAGGAGTTCATCAGAGAGTGCAAGTCGGAAGCTTTGCTTCTCCGCCACAAAAAGACAGGTGCCCAAGTCGCTTCCATGTCCAACGACGACGAAAATAAGGTCTTTGGCATCGTTTTCCGAACCCCACTGTGAGTACTCTTCCAAAATCTCAAAATTTTCATTTTTTGTTTGTTTGTTTATTTATTAATAAAATGGAGCTACCCATTTATTCATTTTTTGTTTGTTCGTATATAAACTAGCATACACACACAAACATATATATATATGTTCATTTTTTGTATGTTTATTCCATTAATTTCCAATTTTGAAACTAATCTGTTATTTCTTCTCAAATGATTATTTTAGGAGCTGCTTTCAATGAGAGGAAAGACTTCTATTCCCAGCCTTCGCCTAAAGCTATGTTATAGCAAACTGTTGAACAGGCAAGTTTTGTTTCTAATTTTTGTCCAGTTGTTACTGTCTATGTTTGTAACATTTTGGCAGGTTAACATATAACTTCAGCCTTTTCGCGCAGTTTCCTTATGAAGTTTTAATGTTTTGTACAGCTCATACATATAAGTCGAGTGTCACCTAGTCCTTCTGAGTTCTGATTGTCTCTTGCTGATGAATCAAACCTTAGCTTCTCTATCCTGTCTCTCTGTTCCCTCCCTCCCTCCCTTCCTCCCTCCATCACTATAACAATATGAATCATTACTTGATGAATTTAACTGCGTATATTTAAGCTAAACGTTCTATATACCAATTGATAAAATGTTATCTAGCTTTTGGCTGCGAAACGTTCTATGTACAAAAATCGATAAAATGTTATCTAGCTTTTGGCCGCGAAATCACGACATGTGAGCTTATATACAACGATATCAATCGGATGCATTTATGCTTGAGTTTGTTTGTTGACTTCGTATTTTCTCTGGTATACCAGCCATCCACGTTGCTGACATATTAGCTGCACAGTCATCCTTATGATTTGTTTTGATTTTTTTGTTTATTTCAATGTGTAATATAATATTGATCTGGTTTCTATTTTCTACAGGCTGTATTTCCAGACAATAGCTATGGTTTCGACGTACTGGGTGATCCAAAAGTTATTCCGAAACTAACATTTGAAGAATTCAAGGTTTGTTATATTCTAATGAGGAAGATTAGTTATTTTGTACATCATATTACTATGCTAAACTTTGATATTTTGATTCCTTATGTGCTGTGACCATACATACGATAGAAGTACATATGTATATGTATTGTTTCTTAAATATTATTGTAGCAATACTGCTCTTTTCTTTCTGACTTTTGGGTTATAAAATTACGGGAGTTCCACCGTAAGCATTACCATCCCAGCAATGCAAGAATCTGGTTTTATGGAGATGATGATCCAACTGACCGCCTGCGAATTCTGAGTGGTATTGAAACAGTTCCGCTTCAACATACATGTAAATTACATATGTTTTGCTTGCAAACTATCCTATGATACATGACTAGTTTGTCTTCATTCACGTGTTTACCAATTTTTCGTTTACTTAAACAAGGTTGTTAAACTTGTAACTCACAAGTGTCCCATCATTTTGGTTTTAACCATTTGTTTGGAGGAACTAAAACAGAGGGTACTAGAAGTTAAGAGAACACAATGAGTAGCTGTTAGAGTAATACATTGCTCAGTAATGTCTTTTTTATGTAATTGATTTTCCTTCTAATGATTCAGATGAATGATATAAGTGTAAGATTGTTGAGAATAAAATTTAAAATTTATATCTGAACAATCTCTCTCTCTCTCTCTCTCTCTCTCTCTCTCTCTCTCTCTCTCTCTCTCTCTTTCAGAGTACCTGGAAATGTTTGATGCAAGCTCAGCCGCAATTGAAAGGGTGAAACCCCCGAAGCTAGTTTCAAAACCAGTTAAGATTCTGAAAAAATATCCTTCTGGTCAATCGAGTGATTTAAAGAAGGATCACATGTCCCTCAGCTGGTGTCTCTGCGAGATGGCCTTAGACATGGAGACTGAGGACGATTGAGCTGTTGATTAATATTACGTCGGCAACTATGTTTTCTCCACTGAACATAATCTTGCTGTCAAATGGCTTTATAGCAAGTTTTACTGGGGTTCATTTTCATCTCCTTCGACCTCTATTTAGTATTGGGTTGAAGAGTGTCTCTCATAATGACATTTCAAGGGTAGAAGCGTACTGTTTGCACTTAGAATGTTTATGAAGAGAGGTTTTGATGCAGATGCTGTAGAAGCATCCATGAATATGATGGAGATTTCTCTCAGGGAAAACGTTATTGGATCAGTTCCTCGAGGCCTTTGCTTAATGCTCCGATCCATTGTAAGATATGATCTTCTTCACTTTTGCTTTCTCCGTCTCTTTTTTTATTGAAAAAATCCGTGCCATTTTATGGCCATTTATTTTTTTCCTAAGCCTGATATGATAATTCTCTACAGGATAAATGGATATATGTATTAACCAAGTATATGTGCATGGGTATTTTAGTCATATTAAGGTGTTTAGATGTCTTAGTTATTAAGTTTTGACAGCTGTAAGCTTGTTAGGTATATATACTGAAAATGTAAGCAATTGTATTCATTCAGTAAAATACAGAAACATTTGCAAGATATCATTTTCTCTCTACTCTGATATTCATTGTTCTTCGTTCTTATTCTTTGATGGAGATTTGTGGCTTAATTTGCCATAGTTATCATGGTATCAAGAGCTGAGGTTCAGTAAACCGGTGGAGAGGATCCTGGTTAGCTCATCAGGCTTACGGTTTTTCTGCGGCGTCTCTGTGCTGAATCTTGATCGGTTCAGATTGGGATCTTTGATTGTTGTTGCGATATCAGGTTTTGTGTGTCTTGATCTTCAAAATTGAGATGTTTCTTAGTATAATTGTGGAATTCGTCATGAAGAATTATGGATGTGTGGCTTGATGTGATGATTTCTAGGGCACGAAGCCTATAAGAGTTTGATTACTGGTGATTGATTTGAGCACGAAGCTCCTTGTTGTTTCTTGATTGTTGCTGATTACTGGTGATTGATTTGAGCACGAAGCTCCTTGTTGTTTCTTGATTGTTGCTGATTTCTAGGGCACGAAGCCTATCATTGGTTGATTTTACCAATTTGCACAGTATAGGGTGGTTCTTGAGCACGCAGCTCCTTGATTACTGGTGCTTGATTTGAGCACGAAGCTCTTTGTTGCCTTTTGATTGTTGTGGTTGATTTTGTAGTTGAAATTACTATGCTCTTTCAATTTTTTTTTTGGAGTAATGGCGATGAATATGGTGAAGGTTGAAAGTCTACTTGGAATGTTAACCATTAGACTTCAGGAGGATAATTTTGTGAAGTGGTCTTTTCAGTTTAGATCTGTTCTTGAAGGAAATGATTTGTTTGATCATTTTGATGGTACCTCTGTCTGTCCACCAAAGTTTGTCTTTACTGAAGATGGTGGTATCACTACTAAACTTACAGCCGCTTATAAAGAGTGGATTAAACGAGATAGGGCTCTTGTGAGTCTATTGCTTGCTACTTTGGGTGATGAAGCAGTTGAATATGTTGTTGGTAGTAGAACTGCACATGAAGCCTGGATGAATTTGCAAGATCGGTTTGCTACTGTTTCGAGAGCCAGAGTGAATCATCTCAAGACTGAGTTACTGACAATTAAGAAAGGCTCGGATAGTGTGGAGAAATACATGTTGCGAATTAAGGTTCTTAAGGATCAACTTCTTGCTGCTGGAGAAGTTGTATCTGAGAATGATCTTATTGTTGCTGCTTTGGCTGGATTGCCAGCAGAATTTAACATGATCCGTACTGTGATTGTGGCTCGTGAAACTCCTCTCTTAAAGAGTTTCGCGCTCAATTATTGGCTGCAGAAAGGACTGCTGAAGATTCACAATCTACAATGAATTTTCCTATGTCGGGCATGTATTGTCATGGTGAATCTTCAAATGCTAATTCTTCACAGAGTCACAGATCAGCTCAATCATTTTATGGTGGTTCTGGTTTTGTCAGTGGTACTAATGTGCATTCTCAGGATAATACTCAAAGGTCAACTGGGGAAATTGTGTCTCAGGCTTTTATTCCTCAGTTCCATCAACAAAATACTGCACATTCTCAGAATAACAGGAGTTATCGGAATTATGGAGGTAACAATGGAAGATTTAACAACCGGCCTAGGTATAATGGGAACAATAATGGCAGGTTCTCAGGGAATTCAAATTTCTTTGCTGGAAGCACAAATAATAATGGAAGTTCTAATTTTGGGTCTAAAGGTGGTTCAACTTGGCAGAATTGGAATGGCAATACTGATTCCAAAACAACACTGATTCCTGAATGTCAGATTTGTCATAAACGAGGTCATACTGCTCCTAATTGTTACTCAAGGTATGATGCAAGTTCCAGTTCTGCTCCTCCAGTTATGGCATGTCAAATTTGTGGAAAGAAAGGCCATACTGCTCTCAACTGTTATCACAGAGGCAATTATGCATATCAAGGTGATCAACCATCTCCTTCTTTGACTGACCTTACTGCACAAGCTCAGCAGAATTTCGTGTCTTCTTCACAGCCAAATTGGGTGTTAGATACAGGAACTACTCACCATATGACTGCTGACCTTGATAATTTGACACTGGTGACACCTTTTGAGGGCAATGACAGGATTACAGTTGGCAATGGAGAGGGACTTCCAGTTGCTAACACTGGTTTGGGTTCTCTTTTAACCTCTTCTAAATCTTTAACTCTTCAAATGGTGTTACATGTTCCACAGTTAGCAGCTAGTTTATTATCAGTTTATAGACTCTGCAAGGATAATAATTGCTATGTTATACTTGATGAATTTGGTTTTTGGGTGCAGGACAAGGCAACCAAGAAAATCCTCATGAAAGGAAGGAGTAGTAGTAGTGGCTTGTATTACATTCCTCAGCAGCACTTCTACAAGTATTCTCAGCTAATGAATAATACACCTCAAGCTTTGTTGGGGCAACTTGTCAAGACATCTATCTGGCATCATAGACTTGGGCATCCCACCAATGAGGTTCAACAAAAAATGCTTCAAGACTCTCAGATTTCTGTTTCTTTAGATAAAAGTCCTCAGTTGTGCTCTGCTTGTATTAGGGGTAAGATGTCTAGACAACCCTTTTCTTCAAAGTGTAATAAGTCCAGTATTCCTTTTGCAAAAGTGCATACTGATGTCTGGGGACCTTCACCTACTGTTTCTGTGGAAGGTTACCGATATTATGTAATTTTTGTTGATGAATGCACAAGGTTTACTTGGATCTTTCCACTTGTTAATAAGTCTGATGTGTACACTGTCTTTGTGAAATTTCATGCCTTTGTTGTGAATCATTTCAAAACAACTATTAAGATTTTACAGTCTGATGGAGGAGGAGAGTACATGAGTAAAGTGTTTAAGACCTTCTTGGATACCAATGGCATTTTGCATCTTGTTTCTTGTCCGTACACACCTCAGCAGAATGGTCTTGCTGAGAGGAAAAATAGACATATTGTTGAGACTACTGTGACATTACTGAGTGCAGCTTATTTACCTCAACAGTTCTGGTTTCATGCGTGTAGTCATGCAATATTCTTGATCAATAGAATGCCTAGTCAGAATTTAGAAATGATTTCACCCTATATGAAGTTGTTTGGACAATCACCTTCTTTAGGGTCCTTAAAGGTCTTTGGTTCTGCAGTCTTTCCTTATTTGAGACCTTATAATGCCAATAAGCTACAAGCACGAAGTGATGAATGTGTTTTTTTGGGATATTCCGTAGGTTACAAAGGTGTACTCTGTTTTCATATATCTACCAAAAGGTTATTTTTGTCTCGGCATGTCATTCATGATGAACATGTATTTCCTTTTAAGCCTTTTCATTCTAGATCTATTCCTCTATCTGTGTCTTCTTCAACAACCTCAAGAGAGTTCCCTAGAGTTGTTTCGGTTGTATTGTCACATGAATCTGAGCAACAGGGGGTGAATGATGTGGTTAATCCTCCAGACATGGAGCTGCATTCTGTCTCTTCTCAGTCTTCTGGTACAGCATCAAGTTCAGGACTGTTACCATTACAAGCTACTACTCTACATTCAACTTCTTCCTCTCCAAGGTTGCCTGTCCACAATCCTTCCCAAATTCAGGTAACTTCTAACTCTGAAGATTTGCCTCCAAATGATTGTTCTACACCTGATGATATGGTTGCTATTTCATATATCTCTCCTGATGTTGTGGCTGGTACACCTTCAGTTTCTCTTCATGATGCAAATGATCCTGTGATTCATACTGATGTAATTAATGTGCCTTCTGAGCATAATATGATTACAAGGTTAAAAAGTGGAGTTTTACAAAGGAAAGATTATTCTGGTTACTGTGCTTCTGTCTCCATGCCTCCAGATTCTTCCTTATCTTCTGATGATGATATTATGTTTCGTGGGTTTACTGCTATATTGGATATTCATGAGTCTTCAGAACCAACTCATTACAAGCAAGCTGTTACCTCTGTGCACTGGAGAAATGCAATGCAGGAAGAATTTGAAGCTTTGCAGAAACAAGGTACTTGGGAACTAGTACCAGTTCCTCCTAATCGAAATGTTATAGGAAGCAAGTGGGTGTACAAGCTTAAGAAGGATCAAGATGGAAAGGTGTCTCGTTACAAGGCAAGGCTGGTGGCTCAAGGTTTTAGCCAAGAACATGGTTTGGACTATGAAGAAACATTTAGTCCAGTGGTCAGACACACAACAGTAAGGCTAGTCTTGTCTCTTGCAGCAATGAACAAATGGGATTTAAGGCAATTAGATGTGAAGAATGCCTTTCTTCGTGGAGAATTGTAAGAGGAGGTGTTTATGAAACAACCTCAAGGTTTTCACGATTCTCTATATCCTAATCATGTCTGCAAGCTCCTTAAGTCTCTATATGGACTGAAACAGGCTCCCAGAGCATGGAATGCCAAGTTTACAAGCTATTTACCTACTTTGGGGTTTCACTCTTCTCATTCTGATCCTAGTTTGTTTGTGAAGATCAGTGATTCTCATGTAGTGATATTGCTCTTGTATGTTGATGATATTATCATCACAGGGTCTTCTTCCCAGTTAATACAGCAAGTCATTGATGATTTAGCCAGTGTATTTGATATGAAAGACATGGGGAGGTTAACCTATTTTTTGGGTTTGCAGATTGCCTATCGAGACAATGGAGACATTTTCATTAATCAGTCTAAATATGTTACTGATCTTCTCAATAAGGCTGGTATGATGCATTGTAGACCCTGTTCAACTCCGAGTAAGCCACACACTCAGTTATTGAAGGATGAAGGACAACCAATGGCTGATCCAACAGTGTATCGAAGTATGGTTGGTGCATTACAATATCTGACCTTCACTAGGCCTGATATTGCCTATGCAGTCAATTATGCATGCCAATTTATGACCACTCCGACTGAAGAACATTTTTGTTTGATTAAAAGAATTCTTCGGTATCTTAAAGGTACTTTGCAGTGTGGATTGACTTATTCTGCTCAGGGAAACATGGAATTGCTTGCTTATAGCGATGCTGACTGGGCTGCTGATATAAATACCAGAAGGTCCACCACAGGATACATTGTCTTTATTGGTTCAAATCCTGTCTCATGGCAGTCCAAGAAACAAGGAAGTGTGTCTCGCAGTTCTACTGAGGCAGAGTATAAGGCATTAGCTAATGCTGCTGCAGATGTAGCTTGGGTTCGATCTGTTCTCAAAGATCTTCATGTTTGTCTTCCATCTGCACCGTTGTTATATTGTGATAATCTTTCAATGTTAGCCTTATGTTCTAATCCAGTTTTTCATACTCGGATTAAACATTTGGATACAGATTTCCATTTTGTTCGTGAAAGGGTCCAAAAGGGAGATCTAGAGGTTCAATATATTCCTACCAACGCTCAGGTTGCAGATATCTTGACCAAAGGTTTACACAGTCCTGTGTTTGTTCATCATTGTACCAATCTCAGACTGGGATATCCCAGTTGAGATTGAGGGGGAGTATTAACCAAGTATATGTGCATGGGTATTTTAGTCATATTAAGGTGTTTAGATGTCTTAGTTATTAAGTTTTGACAGCTGTAAGCTTGTTAGGTATATATACTGAAAATGTAAGCAATTGTATTCATTCAGTAAAATACAGAAACATTTGCAAGATATCATTTTCTCTCTACTCTGATATTCATTGTTCTTCGTTCTTATTCTTTGATGGAGATTTGTGGCTTAATTTGCCATAGTTATCAATATGATATGGATCCTTTTGAGCCATTGAAGTATGAGAAATCTTTAATGACATTGGAAGCCAGAATACGGGATGAAGGGTCAAAATCTGATTTCTCTCCTCTAATACAGAAATTCTTATTGAACAATCCTCATCGAGTCCTGGTAGAAATGCAGTTAATTAATTGCAAAATTTTTGCCCAATCTTTCTGACAATGTTTATTACTCCTAAGTTCCTAACGATTGACTTCTTTGTCAGCCTGATCCACAAATGGCTTCTTGCGATGAAGCAGTTGAGAAAAAAATTTTGAATAAATTTAAAGCATCTATGACAGAAAAAGAGCTCGCTGAGCTGGCACATGCGACACAGGAGCTGCGACTGAAACAGCAAACCCCTCACCCACTTGAAGCTTTGAGAAGTGGTCCAATCCTCTCTCCGCAAGATTTTCCAAAAGGGCCTATTCCTGTTCCCACCGAGGTTATCTTCACCCTAAGTTTCAGATTCGTGTGTTTATGTATCAAACGAGTTTCCTTATGGGTTAGTTCCTACAATAATTGTCTATCTGGTGTGTGTAGGTTGCGTGTATCAATGGAGGTAAAGTATTGAAGCATGACATCTTCACACATGATGTCCTTTACACGGACATTGTTTTCCATATGAGTTCACTAAAGCAAGAGCTTGTTCCTTTAGTACCTCTTTTTTGGTAAGATGTTGAGTCGAATATGCATGTTTAATTATTTAGAGAATTGCATGAAGTTTGTACTACAGTGTTGTGATTAGTTACTTTCTTTTACTACAATTACATACACAAATGAACTGCTTCTTTACTCACATTAATAGTCCTATATAGTGATAAATGATAATGGTGTTTGAACTATCCGTTGAGCTCTATATGTTTTGTTCTTTCAAGAGTCGTGTTTTGGAGAAATAAGGCAGACTAGAACGTTTGTTTGACTCTACCATGATGTTCTTTGCAGTAAATCATTGCTGGACATGAATACAAAAGACATGTCTTTTATTGAACTTCATCAATGGATTGGAAGAAAGACTGGAGGAATATCAATTGATGCGATGGTCTCGGATGTAAGATGCAAGGAAGATCTCTGCGGTCATATACTTATCCGAGGGAAGGCCATGGCAGGACGAGCTAAACACCTGTTTCAACTGGTATTCTTTTCTTTTTCTTTCAGTTAACAATAGTTTGTATGATATGGCTCCATTTTCCTACACATTATAAAATAATTATCTGTTTTTTTATAGGAAACAATATTTTTAATTGAACTCTGTGTGTCATTCTAAATATGAATACCTTGATTTAAAATATTCCATGCAAAATTTCCATTGATTTACCAATCAAAGTAAGCTTAGGAGTGCTCGCCTTTTCTTTTATAAGCAAGCATTCATTAGATTTTTACCCTTTTCCTCTATTTTATTGTTGCAAGTTTTGTTGATGCTTAGCCAGTGAGTTGGGAGATAATAGATCGAGGTTTTCATGCATTCGTTTCATGTTATTACAGGTTAATTGTGTTCTCCAAGAAGTCCAGTTCACAGATCAGCAGCGGTTTAAGCAGCTTGTTTTCGAATTTAAAGCTAGAATGCAGGTATTATTATGGACTTTTATTCAACAAAGCTCAACAGTACTGATCCTTAATGTTAACTTTCAAATCTTAGAGTTTATATTCTGTCATTTTCAGAACCTATTGGGAGGTAGTGGTCATAAAATTACAGCTTCAAGGATGGAGGCAAAGCTGAATGTTTCCGGATGGGTGGCTGAACAAATGTTTGGTATCAGGTTGGAATGGAACTTTCATGCTACTTGTCTTCTGGATTTATTTTGCATATCCTAAACTTTACCGATTCTATTCATCTCTGTGTGAAGTGCACATTCAGAAACATGGAAATAGCGTTTAGGACATAAAATTAAATGGTTTGTATTCTTGTTATTGTACACCTTATCAAAGGATTTAAACACTTAGGGTTTCCAGGAGTTTGGCATTTTAATGTTATTGTACACTACCCTATGCATGTTCTTCTGAGATAAGGAATTATTTATATGGGTTGGCATCTTTGCCTATCTTTGATATGATCATATGAATATAAGAAAAGCTTTCAAGTTTTTGTACAATTCGTTTCTTATAGTTATGGATCTTTACAGTTTCTCATACAGTTTCCATATTCTCTGTACTTAGTTTCTGGGAGTTTCTACAAGTGCTTGAAAGGAAAGTTGATCAAAATTGGGATGAAGTTTCTTCATCACTCGAGGAGATTCGCAAGTCCTTAATTTGTAAGGAAAATTGCATAATTAATCTGACTGCTGAAGGGAAGAATCTTACCAAATCTCTGAAGTTTGTTAGCAAATTTGTCGATATGCTGCCTTGCAACTCTCCCTTCCCAAAAACTACTCGGACGGCTAGACTACCTTCTCCAAATGAAGCCATCATAATACCTACTCCGGTTATAATAAAATTCTTTTTTCTGCAAGGTTCCTTTATTTATAATGTGGGTGGGTTATTCTTAACATTTACCTTCTACAGGTTAATCATGTTGGAAAATCTCTGAACATTCATGATACCGGTTATCGGCTTAATGGAAGTACAAGTGTTATAATTGCTGTTTCAGAAACGCAGCGACAATTTTTTCTTTTTTTTTTTTTTTTTTTTTTTTTTTTTTTTTTTTTGGTTTGTAGGAGTATTCTCTATCTTATCTTATTGTGACCCCAACTTGTTGAAGACGCTTGATGTATACGATCAAACTGGAGATTTTCTGAATGGATGATGATAATCTTAGAAAGGCCATTATTCGCGTAATCACAGATGAGTGCGAGCTTCCTGATGCCAAAGGTTTGAGCAGGTATGTGGATATCAATTCCAGTTTTGTAAAAGTGGATGTATGTAAGGGTGTAATACTGAAGGGACCACGGAAAAAAAAAATAACTGTTTTACCTTTTAAAATGACGGTTTATACTTTATTGATACAATGAGGTGCATGAAGCCCGTAAGTCCATGCACACATTCTGCCACAGAAGCTCAGTGGAGATGGCACAAGTGTTTTCGAATTTACTCGTGCATTTTAGCATAGCTATGAATTATTTCCTCTCACTCTTATCCTTGCTTCTTTTGCTGCAGTTTGAAGCGGTATTTGTTGGGAGTCACAGAGGAAGACAGGCAAAGGAAACAAGAAGAGATATTATCAACCAGGTAAAAGATGCTGTATGTTTGATAATTTTAGCTGACATTCAAATTTGGACGGTTTTTAATCGATGCTTCTGCAAATACTATTTAGGACAATAGACCATCACATTTACTACTTATATTTCTCTAAGTGAATCATCGTCATCTTCATTGCATATCATTCTTTTTCCTTTGGCCGTGGACAACTTCCACGATGCTTGTAAAACTTAATATTTCATTCGCATTTAGATTCTTTCACAGCATACGCTACCAGTAAAGATGTTATGTTGTTAAAATTAATTGGTTTCACTTGTTTTTTGTAATGCTCCACAGCCTGAAGGATTTAAAGGACTGAAGGAGCGACCGACCTTGTTTCGAGTAAAGAAGGTTGCCCTCTAAGACCCCTCAGAAAAGATGCTGCAAATACTGGCTTTGTTTGTAGCTCTATTTTCTGTTAAACATTGGGTGTCCCCTGCAGATTTTAACTAAAACAAATTCAGAATAACATTAGATGGGTGATTATATATTCCTAAGTCGTCACTTTTTGATAAACGAAACTTTGAACTGATAAACTCGAAAATGGTAGCGGAAGGTAGCGATTTAACAAAATGCACTCCAAACTGAATATTTATAATTCTCTCTGCACACACAAGGTCTCGACAAAATCAACCCTAATTACGATCTCTAAGCACCGGTGCATTGCTAGGGTTTTCCAGTATGCACGGGGAACTTTGGTTGTTGTTGCATTCTTGACCGCACATTTAGTCAAACTATAATTTATTGGTATAGACCGGGAGCTTTGAACTCGTATGAAAAGAAAAAAAACTTACGAAAGAGCAAAGCACGTATGTTAAAAAAATTACGTACTCATGTCAAATTATAATTTATAGGTAAACATGAATGACTCTTTTAATTGTAAAGAGCTGAGTAGTGTTTTTTTTTTTTTTTTTTTTAATAGGATGGTAATGGATTAGGCGAGTCGAGCTATGCATAAGATTTGGTCGTCAGACTACAATAGTAAAAACTTGTCTAAACCGGCGATAGCACTTGCTCAATCAGCTAGCGCTTGTAGCAGCAGTAGTAGTAGGAACCTGTCTATGAGGCCGTAAACTCACTTGATAAAATAGAGGGTTACATAAGGTGGTTAGTCTGTAGGTGATGGAGTGAGAAAATTGCGATTGAAGTTTTTTTCACTTGCTTTTGGTGAAGTTTTCAGTATATCCCAACGGACCATTTATCATATATGGTTTCGCCGTAATTATTGCTGTGCAGTGGCATGTTTCAAGAAGGCAAGACAAGTTTGCGTGATCGGAAGTAATTAATTGTACCTTCTCTACAGAAATGTGGCATGTTTGGTCTACTGCATGTTGGCGGTTGGCCCTTAAGTCTGGATAAGTCCTTGGTCATTCCAATTAACCTAGCTCTTAAAACTCACAATGGCCTTTAATCCTTGTATGGTTCCGAACATTTATTTTTGTACTCTGTTGTTTGATTCTTCATTCATATAGACAAATTAGTAAACACGTACGTGTTTAATATTAAACAACTACAAACTAGACTACCAAAGAGGGTCCTCTAGGTGAAAAGCAATTTGTATAGAATGAGTTCACTGTCACACAGCGTCTCGATTAATATTATTATTTTATATAGAGAAAAACTTATATCTAACATGTATTAATGAACTGGAGTGTTATATAACGGTGAACTTATTCTATATAAATCTTTCGTCTATAAATGAAGATACAAATACGTTAAAATTGTACCATGCTTGATTAGAGATTCTCTGCACATAAATGTTTGTCAAACGGTACTTATGATCAATTTTATTCAACTTTAATTCTGTTTTTCTTTTTGACAACGACGATTGTACACCGTAAAGCAATCAATGTGTCAATAAATAAAATCATAGTTAAAAAGTGGATGCGAGTACAAACGACATGTAGCAATCCTCAATAAAATGTATCAACATCTAAGCCAGCTTTGGTCCCATCCATGATCCATCACGTGAGTACCTTGTACTTGTGCCAAACATCAACCAAGAAAGTGTCCTCGCTTCATTATTTTTCCTCTTGTGGGCTCGAAATTGGGTTTTGTACTCACTCTTTTTCCAATCAATTACACCTTGCACGACAGACTAGTGTACCAAAACGTAGGAAAACATGTTTTGGAGGCACCATTTTTCTCTACTCATTTTTATTATTGTTATTATTATTTATAAACTTCATCATGAGTTGGAATTTTGTTCGTACACTTAGAGATGACGATATGATGTCAAGATTTCATAGTCAGGTCAGTAGCCTACTATCTATTACACAGATATTGTCTCAACTTAATCACGTTGTACATGCTTAAAGGTACTGAATTTTATCACAAAATACTTTGTACAATTATGAGTAGAACCATTCAATATAATTTATAATATTATTCTGTGAAGTTTTCATTTTGGGGTTCTATTCTTCAACACATGAGATCTCAACTTCATGCGAGAGGTGGAAGAGAAACAGTTGGATCGAAAACATTAACGTGTCATTTCAAGTCTAAATTAAATTCAACGGTGAAAATTAATCTAAACATGACTTTAAATGGAATATTATTAGAAAATCTCCTACAACACTTTTTAGGGTTAAATACACAAACACCTTCTGAAGTTTTTCATGTTTTCATAAAAACTCCACAAGTTTAAAACATTACACTAACACCACCTAAGGTTTTAATCCACTTTCGCATAAACCCTTCAATGACAAATTTACCCTTTTAATTAATCATCTAAAAATAAAAACCACATTTACACCATCTCCTATGGAGATGTCAAATTTCATTTTTTTAGCTAATGTGGCAAAACAACATTTTGTAAAGTCTCCTATTCCAGCTGAGATGTCAAATTAAAGTGCTTTCTGGTTTTTTATCAAAATTGACTACTTAGGATTTTTTTTTTTTTTTTTAACATTTCATTTGGAGATTCTTTTACATCTCATTTTATTTTTCGTGAGGGGTGAATATTAGTTCTACTCCAATAGGAAAAATGTAAATTTGAGATTTCATTTATTATTTTCTCTTTGGTTGGCAAAGCTCACAATCAAAAAATGTAAAAAAAAAAAAAGAAGCAAATTTGTATTTTATATACATCTTCCGGCAAAAATGGATATTTAGATCTCGCCATTTTCTTGCCAACCAAAAATATAAAATGCGAATTTCAAGATATTCCATGTTTTATTGGAGATGCTTTCATCCATTGTTAAACCTTCCATGCTTGTCTCTTATGAGTAATGAGATTAATTATTACTCAAAGGCCAAATGGTGAGATTTGATTACGCTGCGTAAATGGATTAGGACTCAATGTACTAAACCAAAAGAAAAACAAGATTGATATGATAAAAGTTTGGGTGATTTGTATAAAATCGATAAAAATTACAATATATTGAAAACAGATCAATAATATTTATGTTAATTTCAAATAGGTTAAACATGTATTGTGATATTTAAATGCTTTTAATATAAACAAAAATTACAGAATCTGCCACTACAACTGGCACCCATCTCAACCGACACCCTTTTTTTTTTCCTTCATATTTTTCATAATTTGGAATAGGTCAATATGGATAAACACTGCAACGCAATGTCCGTTTTCTGATTCTATTTTCACATTTAGATCCAGACACTATGTTGCAATGTCCATTTCATGGTTTCATTTTTTTCCATCACTCACATACCTCCTATACGTTCATTTTTGCATTTGGATTCAAACACTGTAATGTTGTGTCTGTTTCCTTGTTCTGTTTTTTTTTTTTTTTTTTTTTTTAATTTTGGATTCAGACGCTGCATTGAAGTGTCTGTTTCCTGTTCTATTTTTTTTTTATCATTCACATGCCTCCTATGTTTCGCACCTCACACAACTCCTGACTTTCACATTTGGATTTGAAATACTGCAATTCAGTGTCCATTTCATGTTCTATTTTTTACATTTGGATTCAAACACTGCAATGCGGTATCTGTTTCCTAGTTGACCGTAGAGCTCTATGCTTTCTACCATCTCACCGTTCCTCTCTTGACAAGCTCCTATAATTAACTAGGCTAGCTTTTCTCTTAGTGATGGCTTGCAATTGCAATTGAGAGTCTACGATTTGAAATGATATCTCAAATGACACACCCTGACCGAGATCAGGGCGTGCTGGGCATCACGCGAATGTGACGTAACCATGTGCACAATGCGGAAGCTAACAAAATAATAGAAATAGTACGAATAAATAAAAACTAGCATACAAGGTAATAGTAATAAGTGCTAGCGTAAGTGAGACACAAGTTCAGAGCAGAAAGCCTAAAGCAGTTCAAATTAAATGACACGACAACAGTACACCCGAAGGTGGCCCTACGCTGGTGATCGTCTGTTAGAAATGCTGGGAAAGCCCTCTAGGAAACCACCAAACCAACTGAACAGCTAGAACCTGGAGGGGCGCAAAACAAAAGCGTGAGTGGGCAAAAACAAAGCTTTTCGAAAACCATTTCAAAAACAAGATTCTAACCCCTCGCCGTAAAACCTGTATACTTCCCAGAAAATAAACATATGTATATAAATATAGATATGCCAATCATGCTTAAGAATATGCCATGCCAAATCTCACAATGAAATGCAAGTGCTCAAGTATAAATCACATCAATAACATATAATCTGGCAGCCGGAGTCACCTAACGTGACCTGTACGGCTGCATCTAGAGCTCAAATCTCAATCACAATAACTAAACCTGCCCACGAGTCGAAACCACCTAAAGTGGTCTGTACGACAGGCCTGGGTGTAATACATATAAACGCTCTAGTGTTACGATCACGTGAAGGCTGTGCGAATAATCGCGGGTCACCTACGAGTCGGAACCACCTAATGTGGTCTGTACGACAGGACTGTGCACCTAACTTGAATCCAAGCTGAGCGTGTGGTGCAGGAGGTGAACAACACGTGAAGGACTGTGCCCTACTCTGGGCGGGAGCACTAACACCAGGGGTGCAGGTTATGAGCTCTCTAAGCATCTTGAAGCACTATTGAATATAAACGTGAATAACACTTACCTGGCACTTACATGTGCATCCACAGCACCAACATACATACGAACATATATGTGTATATATAAATGCAATTAATCATGCATAACAACCAACAATATATGAATGGCATATAACTAATAAACATTTAAATCAATTTCTGGGAAAAATATAAGTATATAGGTATATACAGAAAACCAAAAGCCCACTCACTGATAAGTGGAAGGGTCATAACCCCCCTGCCTCGAGTGACCACGCTCGTCCTCGGGATACATCTCACCTATATGCGAAATAACTATAAAAACGTTAATTTTAAGCACATAACCAAACTTTAGAAATAATTTCTCATACAATGCTCAAATGGGGTGTATGAATACACCAACGTGATCTACTCAACCTCACGAACATCCCCAAATTTTTAAAATAATTTTTCACCACCGCACGCGCCCCCACGCGCAGGCACGTGCCTGGCACGCTGAAGGCGTCAACTGACGCCGTAGGGAATATTCCATCAGTTTTGACAGATTCTGTCAACGGCGTCAGGAATATTCCGTCAAATTTGACGGAATATTCCGTCTTCTTCCCCGGCGAGCCTCCGGCGCAGTCGCCGGCGCCAAAAAACTGGAAAATTTTCAAACTTCGATAACTTCTTCGTTTTTCAACCAAATTCCACAATTTTGGTACCAAAATGAAGCTTAGAACTAGAGGAACACAATCATACCACTTTCAAGGGTTAAAAACCACGAAATCTCACCTGAAAATTCAACCCAACTCCGGTCAACTTCGAAACTAGTGATCCCGACGTCCAATTCCTTCAAACGAACCACTCCGAGCCTCCTTGGGACCTCACCAAGCTACCTACAAGCTTGAAATTCCCTAAAACGTGAGAAATCACGTGTGCATGAATAGTACCCAAATTGGACATCGTTGAATCGACGTGAAAACGATGGAGTTCTTACCTGGAAATGGTATGGTTGGACTCCTACAAGCCTCACGAGCTCGAATACGTGCTTGGTTTCCTTGATCTGTGGATGTTTGATAGGTTTGTGGGTGTGTCCGTACGTTCGAAGGAAATGGGAAGGGAAATGGGGCTCGGGACAATCACAGGGAAAGGGACAGAAGGGTGTTCAATGTGGGAGTGTGAGTGTGTGGCCCAAAACATGCCAACACAACACAAAAACAACCAATAAACGTAACGAAATCGAACTAGGGGTAAAATAGTCTTTTCACGCGTACGTTTTTGATATTTCTGGGATGGGCTGTCACATCAAATGGGTGAAATGAATTATGGTAATTTTCGTATGAATGTTTAGCAATTTCGAAATTTACTATGGAATCATATTAATGAAATTCAATTCTAAAATTTATTTAATGAATTTCTACCACTATTGATTCATATATACTTGTTCATTTTAGATAATCTTATTAAAGTTTTTTGTGTAAATGGACATAAGCTTGGGAACGGACGAGGACGCTGTGATATGGATATTAGGACACAGGAATATAAGCCAAAGGAGGAAAATCAAATATACTTACCAATACTTTTGATGATTTTTAGTCTAAACTTTCTAGAGATTTTACAGTATTTTCTCCAACATTTTTTGGTTTTAAAACTAGTATTTGAATTTGTCAAATTGCAAGCTAAAAACTTCATAAGAACGTCATGTTGTTATTGTTTTTGTTGATGTTTTCCAGCATGAACAATAAATTCTAACTATTTATAATGGCATAACGCCCACGTAGCATACATAGAGAGAGAAAGACAAAAAGGATAAAAGAGTCAAGTTCTATCTATATATAATGACTTAAAACCCATGTGACATTCATCATTTACCTATTCCTAATTAATAAAAACATATTATTGATTAAGTCCTAAACAAAAATATGCTATTGATATATGATTAAATAGTAAAGTTTTTATTGATTTTTGGCTAAATTACCTTAAAAGTTAATATGTAATAAAAAAAAGTATTAAAATACATTTATTAGTTTTATTTTTAATGAATTTATCATTTATACAACCGTATATTTACACTAATGAGTAGAGAATAAATTAATAGGGTACTCATTGTTCACGAAAATCAAATCTAACACAAAGCCAAAAAGAAAAATACACACAACAAAACAAATTACAAGAAATGCTAAAATGAAACCAAAATACACACAACAATACAACGGAATTTTGAATAAGTGTTTACATAATCTTCTTTTTCATACGTAAAAAAAGAAGAGACTTATAGAATGGCATAGGCAAATAGAGATTTTGCACATTTTTGTTAATCCATGAACAGGATTTATTTAGACACATAAGAACACTAGTATTTCATTGGTACAAATATGGATTGTTGAAAAATAAATAAAAATTACCGCTATACAATTACAACCTGTTTTTGCTCAGTAGATACAAAACAACCATACTATAGCACCCAACAAAATGGCCCCTGGTGCAACAAGAAGCACCACTTTGACTTGGGCGTGGTGATTTAGTGGCGGTGGATAAGAAAACAAAAATGAAAAGTACCACTATTCTTCCTCACTTTTTCTTGTCACGAGCAATGTTGTGGTAACATAAGATTCGAAGTGCAATAGCACATACATTACTCCATGAACTATTTTTTGGTAATTAATCCCTTAAATTATTTGAAATTAGTGAATTTAAATGCGCGAAAACCTTCACTCATGGGTAATAATAGACACAAGCACAACAGATCATAACTGGACAATTCAAATGAATTACTGTCATACTTATTGGAAAATAAAAATGGTAGGATGATATTAATTAAAAGAGTAACATGTCGTTTAACCTTCTGAACTATTTGAAGTTAGCCACGTACTTTGATAAATAGTCCCTGTAACCATTTGAAACTAGCCAATTAACCATTTTCCGTCAATTTTTATAAAATTTCTTCAACTTTACCGTCGTATAAATAATTCAGGATGTAATTTGTCAAAAAATAATTTAAGAGTCATTTTCAACTGGAATAAGATAGAAAGGCACACTATAATTAATCAATCGGAGAAGGGTAAAATAGAATTTTGCAAACGACATACAAACCATGCGTTTTGATGTGGGCACCCACAGAGGAAGAAGCGCATGTTGTGTGTTGAGCTTTCCCACTCTCAGAAAATTATCCAGATCTTCGAAACGGCACCGTCGGCATTCCCTTTGTCACCCTTTTACCCGTTCAATTTCACCCCCAACACTCGCGGTAACACGGTCGAACAGTAAAACGGTAAATCCAAGGCAACCCCACCCGCCGGGCCCACCTCTAAATTCTGTTTATTTTTCTGTCTTTTTAATCTGAGCCGTCCAACAGATCACTTACTCAACATCCCTCTTGGATCTCCCACTTTTCTCTCTGTTTAAAAATCCAAAAATAGCAGAAGGGAGAGAGAAAGCACACACTCTGTGCGTGTGTGCGTGCACTGCTTTAGCCTTCTGTGTAGAGAGAGAAACAAGAGAGAGAGAGAGATATGGAGGACTACAACTGTAAGCGAATGGCGGCCATGGACGACTCCACCAACGCAGCCGTATCCAAGAGAAGAAAAGTTACTGCTTCAACGCCGCCATTGCCTCCAACTCAAACAATGCTTCAGCTCCTCAATTCCCCGGACTCCTGCTCCACCTTTTGCTCCGATCACTCTCCGCCTCCTTCCTCTTGCTGCTCCAGCAACGAACTCAGCGATGTCCCCGCTGCCGTCCGCAGCTCTCCGCTCCTAGATCTGGAGGTCAATCTCGCTTCCCATAGCTCCGTCCGAGCTTCCAATTTCTCTTCCCCTTTCTTTCGGTTCGAAAACGAGGAGACAAAAGAGGAGAGAGAAACTAGCGGACGGAAAAATGTACTCCTTGATTTTTCTCGTTTCCGTTAGGATTTTCTCAGGAAACAAACAGACGATCACTCTCTCCCTCTCTCTCTCTCTCTCTCTCTCTCTCTCTCTCTCTCTCTTCATTTTCCTTCAATTTTACGTTTCTCGAATTTTATTGCAATTTAAAAAAAAATTAAATTTCAAAATTCATTTCACCGCTTGCAGTCCAAGAGTTTCAAAACGGTATTCTCCAACTCGACCTCCTTCGTCAACAATAAATTCAGGTTTCATTTCACATTCATTCATAATTTTCCTCTTCAATTTCTCCAAACCGAAACGTATTTTTTCAGGTTGATTTTTGTTCCTTAAAACTCAGCAATTTTTTTTTTTTTTTTTTGTAATTCGCTGCACCAGCAGGGAAACGACGCCGTCGAGCGAGCTGCGCCTGGACTCGGACGAAATGTCATCGCCGGTGTCTCACCGACGGAGAATCCCGGAGAGAAAATCCCCTCCGTTTGAAGAGATCGAAGAGTTCTTCGCTGTGGCCGAGAAGTACGAGCATAAGCGGTTTGCAGAGAAGTGAGTACTTTTTTCACATTTTCCATTTTCTTTATATTTTCCATTTTTCTGCTGGAGTGCGCACGATAAGCCACGTTTCGTGTAGTGTACTCCACCGGCGGCGCATTTTAACAGGAGACGGAAATCGGAAACCCTAACTAACTAACAACATACCCGATTTTATCGGTTTCGAATTGGGTTCGGAATCGGGTGCAGGTACAACTATGATATCGTCAAGGACGTGCCTCTGGATGGTCGGTACCAGTGGGTTCGTTTGAAGCCCTAAGCATTTCAGTTAGCTCTAGAGAGAGAAAGCAGGAGGTAGAGAGAGAGAGAGAGAGAGCAGGCGGTGGGTAAATTACAATAAACTGACACTCGGTAGGACAGAAAGTAGCATGGAAATGAAGGGGGAGGGAGGTGATCTGGGTTTTTTGATTGTACAAGCTTCTCTTTTCTTTTTATGTGACAACAAATGGAAGCTTCTAATTCTCTGCAACTTCTCCCAACTTTTTTTAATTAATTAAATTCTAAAATTATATATATTTATTTACGCAACAATTTATACATTAATTAATTTTTTGTTTTTAGTTTTGGGAAAGAAAAGGGATTTTTGTTTGGGTCTGTTTTGGGTGTTTGTGGGTGTGTGAATCTATCTTTTCTCTCTTTTTTTTTAATCAGCTTTTTGGTTTATAATCAGCTTTTTGATATATATTTTTTTTTTTTTTGCGTTTGGGGGTTTTTGGCTTTCCGAATATGCGTTTCATGTAATGGTAATGAATCGTTATGTTGCTTATAGTGGGGACCAAACTAACTATAGCTTGGCTAGCTAGGCGCCACTAGGAAAGTAGGTTTTTTTTTTATTGTGATTTCAAATTTTGTTTCTAATGTTACTTAGTATTATAGTCTAATAATATTTCTTTTTACTTGTAAGTGAGAGATCTTAAGTTCGATTCTCGCTAAAAGTAAATTTGAATCACATCATTACTAAGTCATTGTGAGGCTTAGTCCACCCCCTCTCCCTTAGAAAATTTTGTTTGTTAAAAAGAATTTGGCTACTCATTTTAGAAGTCCCTTGCTAGCGATTGAAACTCATCTCCGATCCTTAGGATCCAATTATGATATTTTGTGTCAATGATCCATTTGTTATGCGAGGACATGGGTATGTTTCTATTTTGTGACAAGAAAGTCACGAGTTCTAATCGTGAAAAGCAAGGGTAATGCTTCTTACGATAGATGTTCCCCTCGCAACCCTTGCAAAGCGGCGAATCTTGTTGGCTTGAGATCGACCTTTTAATGCATCTGTTATGCATAAAAACATTGTATTATTGACCCGAGATGTCACAGTGGTACATCAAGTGCTCCACTTGCCCGCTTATGTGAATGTGGATTAACAAGTTTGTGGTTGCAATTTTTTAAGCCTAGAATTGTTTAAGATTTGGAATCTTTTAAGATATGCTAATTAGGCTAATTTAAAAGAGGGAAATTCAATTCAATGTCTTATATCATTATAGGTTTAGTTTTTTTTTTTTATATTGAATCTACATTGTAGGTTTTGGCTTCTGTATTAGATTACTAGAGATAAGACAAGAGCTACTTCTACTAGTAGTGCTGGAGCTGCTTGCAGTATAGCGACTCTTCTGTACCAAAGTTTAACTTAATTGGATAAATACCTATTAAAGCCTTTTTGGATTCTAAAAACACTTTTTTTGCTGCTACTTTTAGAGAACGATATGATATTTCATGTACTTGACGAAACATTTGAATTCTAAATAAACATTTTGTTATGCTTTTCTGATAGCAGCTTTGCTAGCAAAAGTGCTTATGAGTAGAATTACTTCCGACATAAGCAGTCCGCCAATTCCAAATGCACTCTTAAAATGAAATTTTTTTTTAGGGGGGGGTGGGATATTGTTTATTGAAAAACGTTTTTTTATACAAACTATATTATCTACACTAAGAGGATAGGAGAGTGAGCTAAGTTTCACAATGGACTAGCAATAATGTGGTTCAAATTCATTTTTGGCGAGATTCGAACCTAAAATCTCACTTACAAATAAAAAAAAATATTATTAAATCGTAATACTAAGTTGCTGCAAAACGTTTTTTTTAAAGATGTGTATCTTGTTATAGAAAAACCATGAAGAAAAAAAAGAACAAGAGGGAAAGTAGAGGGACGGGCGGCTGCTTTTGAAAAGCTGGACAAGAAATATTCGCTACGTATGTGGGCAGAATCAGTCTCTCTATCACTCCCTCGCGCACTCACACACTGCAGTCTGCAGAGGGAGGAGCAGATATCGAAAGGGTCGCAGAGGGCATTGTCGGACACAGAATTAAAGCAAATCCAACAGGTACATGCATTTGAACATGATTACACACGTGTCAAAAACCCAATCAATCAATTAGGTGGGGTTTGGGGTTTGCTTGCTTCCGCCCCCAAATAGGGAAAATTTTTAGTTGTGCCGGGTACACCAAATTTTTTTGGTGTACCCTCACTCATTAAAATTTTTTTGGTGTACAAAAAGTGAGGGTGCACCAAATTTTTTTGGTGCACCCTCACCATTATGAGTGAGGGTACACCAAATTTTTTTGGTGTGCCGGGTACACCGAAAAATCCCTCCCCAAATAGATCAACAAACAAGAGTAAAAAGATGGACATATTAAAGTTAGTAAATTGGAGTTTATGACAAATAAAGTTGAATTGTTATACTTAGACTAGCTGGTAATCATGATTAATGGGTACTACTACTAGATGGATCATTTTTGCAATATTCACTTGTATAATGCGGGTACAATGAATATTATTTATGTACTTCTAAGACTTATTTTAGGGGAATTTAAAAAAAAAATAACTAAAATATGTACTTTGTATAGAATTATAGTCACATTTTTAAGTTTATAATAATTTTAACCAAAAGTTAATATAAAAGTACTAATATATTATTAATAACTAAAAGCCTCTCCATTTACTCTTTTTTTTTCTTTTTTTAACAAACAATATTATTTATATGAAAAGGGAAGGGTGGGCTTAGCCTCACAATGGACTGACGATAATGTGATTTAAATTCACCTTTGGCGAGAATTGAACCTAATACCTTTTACTTACAAGTGGATGAATACCACTAGATCATAATACTAAGTGGCACTTCTCCATTTACTCTTAACCGTGAAAAAACCAGAATTTGGATAACATTTCATTTTTGGAAATTTGCAAGAAATCTCTAGCTATCCAAATGGAAGGAAAAAAAAAACATCATTATGTTTTACATTAGAATTTTTTGGATATTACAATTGATGGTTTGATATAGAAAGAGTGTTGGAGAGAGAGGAAGTAGAACAAAGGGCAGTGAGGAGAAGCAAATGAGGGACAAGAAGGAATGATAATAGATGGGGTTCCATGAAGGGGGTGAGCATGGGGCACTTGGTGCGGATGATTGCTCTCATTTTGTGAGTTAATAGGCTGTTGACTTTCAGGCTCACTCGTCAATGGAGTGGGTTATCGACATCGATCTTGTTTTGCATTATATATGGCTGATTTGGTTTGGGGACAAGTCTATATAGATCCACCACACTTTGACCTTTATTCGGCTAGGAGTTCTCCGTCTTCATCCGAGTGCACAGTCGTCGAATCGACATCGGCCTTTGCAGTGTCTACAAAGGGCTAGGGCTGGCTCAGCTTCGTGTTGTCACTGACTATGGACAAGCCTATACTTCCATTAAGTATAACGTATATACCAAAATGTCCCTCACTTTTTCCTGACCAAAAAATTTCATTTTGCTTGAGAACTACATACCCTAAACCTTAAACCTTAAATTATCAAATATACCTTTACCTAACGAAACTTGAAGGGTTTGTCACACAAAAGGTAGCATACGATGCGCCGATTTTTTCTGTTGACGCAAAAACATTGCCCAATGAAGGTCACTTTGCTCGTCAAACATTATTTGTTGGTCAAAGGGCTCTGAAAATACTAAAACGTTGACCACTTTTGCCCGATGAATTGTTTTATTCCATCTACTAAAGTTACTTCGCCTGACGAAAGTTGGTTCGTCAGGCAAATGGTAATTTTCGGTAATGATTGTATGTAAATAGCTCCACATGTTTATTAGAAAAAATGTGTGTTTAAAGTACAAGGATTGTCACTAACACTACAATCTAGTAGTGTTTCTTTTTAATTGTAAGTGACAAAAGTCTCAAATTCGACTCACTTGACTAATGAATTTAATATGTAATTATTATGGATGCTCGTTACTTGGTTTAAGCCTAAAGCTTTGTTACAAGTGAATAATTTTTTATTGTAAATTCATGTAAGTGCCATAGTGTGATCCCCCACGTATCAACTTAAAAAATAATCATATCTCGGTTGCACGAATGATCCTCACATTTTTCTTCAAAATACAGCATTGTTATAAACATAAAAAATAGAAATTAAAAATGAATTTAGCACTTAAAATGGTGACTTGTAATATTCTACTTATCTATTTTCACTAGAGAAAGAGTACAAATATTTTTTTTTTTCTTGTGTACAATTTCTTGACATGAGAAGTTTTCTTGTGTACCTGTAACACTTAATACGTAAAAATATCTTCTTATATGTTAGAATATAAATAGGTAATATGATTTATATATCTTATTGTTAGAGTATATTATTAAAAAGTAAATATACATGTTATAATTTGAATAAATTAATAACACGAGGGTGTTTTAGTTAGGTTATCTTGTGAGAGAATGAGAGACTTTCACGTGCAGTGGTGGAGGGTGGTGGCCGATCGATGCATTTTGCTTGCTTTGGATCTGATGCACCTAAATTTCAATGCAAACTCAGTCTTTGAGAGAAAGAGAGAGCCGAGAGGTGGGGATTTGTAAAAGGAGGAATGTTGCTTGCTTATTAATGAAGTACGTTGGGGTTTCGATTTTGGTGTTACGGAAACTTATTAATTATTCTTAAGGTATTTGCGGTTCGAGATTTTTCATTTCAGGATTTCCGATATATATATATATACATTAGAGAAAGTGTTACAGAGACTTTTTTTTTTAAAATGAGACTCTTTATGGAATCTTACACATTATATTTTTGCATAATATTTTATAATGTTGATATAAAAATTAACGTTAAATTATGCATTTTTTTTTTCAACAAACAATATAGTTAATGAGTTAAATTGTTAGAAGAAAAAAACCGAATGATTAGGAATGAACTCGTACAAAAATACGTAGTTATCACTACTTTCCACTGCTGTAATAAATAAAACCGCATGTAGAGGATTTTCATGTTATTTACTTTTCTTAAAATTCAAGCACATACCACTTTTTTGGCCCACTTACTTTAGTTTAGCATTATTTTCGTTTCTTTTTCTCTTGAAAGAAGTTTATTTTTCTCCGTGACAATCTACTTCTATACTTCATATTATTAAATTTAAACAAATTTAATATTATTAAAAATTCTGAATGCATTCATTTGCTGATTCTTGGGCATGGTAATGTTTCACCCTCAGATTATCAGTACGGTGACAATTAATTTAGCCAAGCTGGTCTTTTATGTTATGTTAAAGTTGATTTAAATTGAAGACCTTTTTTTTATGTTATCTTTAATGTACTATTTTATATTCGTATCATTTCTTAATATTATAATAAAACAGTTAACATTTCGTCTAAAAAAATTTAAACAGATTTCAAATTTTGACATTTCTAACTTCTAAAAATTGGTGTTGTTTACGGCGTGTGTCATGTATGATGGATGCTCAGTGATGGTATGAATGTTTAACTATGCTTTCTGAAATATAGACACCAGAGTATAATAAAATAAGAAAAAACTATTATATCAACTGTTAAATATAGTAGAATAACCTAAGAACTTTTTAGTTCCAAATCTTTAATTATGTTCTAACACTTTAGCTAGCATTGTAACCTAACTTATTAAGTGAGATTGAACATGAAAAAACTATAATATGTTGCACTTGTTAACGCTCAAATTTGGGAGGTTATAAAGATCAGTGTGGTTGGCCCTTGATGGGCTCGAGGTTGAAACAATAAGAATTGAACAACAAAATTGAAGTGGTTCACTTCTAAAAACAGGACTACGTTCACTATGGTGGATATTGAATAAAGGTTACAATAAGCGCTCAAAGTAATCTAGTCTCTTTTTCTCTCTTTTTATTTGACCGTTATAAGGTGTACTCATCCTCCTTATACATGTCTTTGGTGAGCCCTAAGACTTTGGGCTTGAGTTTTCCACCGCCTTCACATTTAATGGACCAAGTACGTTGATGTGACCTGCTAGTTGTCCCTCCGTTATTTAGTCAACACGTGGCAATGAAGTGACACTTATTCTGATCCACTTGCATGTTTTCTTAGGCCAATGTGTACCAAGCAGTTTGTTCGCCCCTAGGGTTGTGGAAACTCACGCCTGAGCACTTGATATGTCAGCCTTTATGTCCCTTCATAGGCTTATGTTCTCGCAAATGGCCACCATGTGGCCTGGGGTTGGTGTTCAAGTAAACTTGCCCCTAGGAATTCGTGTCATAATGTTTTTAGTATGCCAACTTGCTCATAGTGGTCGGAAAGTACTATATGAGGAAGCGCTCGGCTTTATTGCTAGTAGGCAAATCAGACCGCTAAATGGTCATCTGTAGCTTCGAGATCATCTTTTCAGTTATGTTGGGCCTTGGTCTTCCTTCCCTTGGGCCTCTATCTTCCCTTCTTTCTTTGGGCTTTTATTCTTCCTTTGGACTTTTATCTTCCTTTGTTTGAGCCTTAACTGGACTTCTCCCAAGTTTGTACTATTTTAGAGGTCCAAAAGGATCCTGTGTTAACATACGTGAATCCA